AGGAAAATCGATAATTTCTTTTTAGAACCACCGCCCTGATTGGGTCATTTTATATGTATAGTTAAACACATTTATTTTTAATTTTACGAGTGGAATGTCTTCATAATATTGTAGTTGTGGGAATACGCAAAAAAATTGAATATTTGCAATTTTCAACAAATTAGGGTGTTTAATAAACATGAGACCTGCACCACTCTCTTAAATGTCTTTCGCACTATCCAACGACAAAATTTAATCAAAAAAATTGGAGCCTTTTGTTATTATTATTATAGCAATAATATAATAACATAATATAAATAACATAACAATAATAAAATAACAATATATATCAATAATATAATAATAATTAATAAAACAAAAGGCTCCAATTTTTTGATTAAATTTTTGGTTCGTTGGATAGTGCGAAAGACATTTAAGAGATGTGGTGGCAGGTCTCATGTTATTAAACACCCTAATATTGTGGGAATTGCAAATATTCAATTTTTTTGCGTTTCACCACACTACATATTATGAAGAGACATTCCATTGTAAAATTAAAAATAATGGTGTTACTCTAGCTTACAATATAAATACCCAATAGGGGTGAACGTTTAAAAAGAAATTATGATTTTCTACCCCCCCCATTCGAATAATAGTGTGACATTGGTTAGCTTTAGGAGCGGGTATGTCACTGATTGGTGCATAACCATGTATGTGCTGGTAATCTCTTTGATTTTTACGCTTTTGAATTCTTTTAATATTTTGGGTGTTAGTTTGGGCATTGTTGGTAATTTCATTCGTGAAATTTACTCGTAGTCTCTTAAATATAAGATGCTTTTAGAAATTTCATAGTATCAGTTTACTTTGACTTAAATTTAGAAAATTCTGTTCGGAGCGAGGAGGGGATTTATCCGGATTTCAAAGCAAGAGCGTATTATTCTGAAATTTGAATTTGGGGAAGTGTTCTTATCTTCGTTGTTTAATTTGATATGGTTCAATTTTGGAATGATTTATTACAGTTGTATTGTATTTTTATTTATGAAGGGTCTGCAATGTCAATATAGGAATTAACCTTACAGTAAAGGATTATTCAGGTATATGAAAATAGAAATGAATGCAGAAAGGAATTTATGGATTTATTCGGATTGAATATTATATAAATAACATGGATGTTGTACGGATATTGTTTTATTTTTATGTGTTGTTGACTATATGTGTATTTTAATTGTTTGTATGGATATATGATGGCTTGATGTTTTGGCAGGGTTTTTTGAGAGAGGAGTGTTCATAAATTGTAGTTAGTTTAAGTTTTTTGTTTGAAAAGAGTGGTTAACGTATTTTTGTTTCGGATAGTAATGGTTTGCCATTTGTAACGTTTGAATATCTGGAAAGTATG